GTGAGTATGAGAAAAAATGAATACTCAGGTCAGATTTTCTCATCAATAAACAGAGTATCTATTGATTAATCAGGAATCACTGCAATCTCTTGACAGACTGTAGTGAGTAGGTCTGATATCACTGAAGAAATCACTGCAGTCACTTTACAGACTGCATTGAGTAGAATCTTCAGATTGTGTATTATTAATATCAATGAATTGACAAGATGAAGATTCTTCTGAAAGATAATGTCTTTTGATATGTATAAATGCCTGTTGAAGAGGTTCATCAATCTATAATTAATAAAATTATCATATCTCACAAAAATCAACTCTTTGAAACAGGAAGCTATCTTATTGATGAGCTTGAGAACTATCTTTAAGAATGCTTTACAACCTCATCAGTGAATGTCATGTGCAGAGAGTAGAGCTTCAAGCCAGGCCTTATACAGTGTAATCAGCTTTGTATTTTCAGAGTTCTCATACAATATCATTGAGATTGATATACGGTTAAGCAGCTCTGTGACTGTAATAACTGTCTCATCTCACATCTTTTCTAAAGCTGAAGAGTCTATTAATAGTGATTAAAACTTCTCAATGATCAAACTGATCAATTATTCAGGTACTTCATCTTGCTGTAAAGTATAAGAGAGAGTCAGCTTTCATTTTATATCTTCACTGAGCATATATGCTGTGACTGCATTTGAATTCAATTCTTCACAATCTGAGTGAATGATTGCAATGCCACATCTCAGCAGATTCTTGATAAATTGATTAAAGATTCATAGATATCTCAATGTCTCATCCTTGTGTTTCAATAGAAATATTCATCTCATACAGATGACATCATCTGTTATCATCATTACAAGCTTCTTATCAGTGTAAGATAATATATCATTCTCAGTTTCAAGAGTCTCATTATCATCAAATATATTCACTCAAATCTTCAAGGCCTTGCAGATGACATGATGTGGTGTGAAATTCTTGTAGAAAGTGTGTTTCTGTTTAAACTTAACACATGTGACACAGAATGATAATTTCTTCAGATTAATAATGATAATATCAAATCACAGGTTTCTGATCATTTTTAATATACTATTTTCACTGATATGATCAAGTCAATGATGTCACTCATCTATCAGAAGCTGTTTCAGAAGAACTGCAGATAATCAAGATAAAGATGAGATAATAAAGAAATCAGTATCTGAATTCTTAGAGTTGATTAACTGTTCAATCTTCTCATGACTGAAAGGTCTCAAAGATCCTGCATTTGAATCATAATCTGTTGAGATTGTCTTTGGTTTCAGAACAGTCACATATGTCACTGCTTTATACATTGAGTCATTCATTATCTTATGAAATGTCAGTGAGCTGTTGAATAGAATGTAAATATTATTATGAGACAGATTGATGTAGAAGATATCACTGTTAATAGATAACAGAAACTCAAAGTAGTTCTCAGTATTAACTTATATATTACAGTAAATATAGCTCTGATGTTTCATAAGCTCAGCAGAGATCAGATTTGTGAATAGTTCTAACATATAGTATATATGATTGAATTCTATCAATCTTTCACTTACTAAGATAAATACAGTGCTGACACTCTGAACCTTTATAATAACCTTGTTGATCACTTGAACTGTTAAATCATTGATTGCTATAAGTTCTGAAAATCATAATCTATCACTCACTATGTGGCATCTGATGTCACTATCTTATATAGTGAGGGAATTCTTGTGAGATTTCATGAAACAGACTGACATATTAATAATCTCTGTGAGGTTTATTATCTGATAGATGTCTGATTCATCTGTAAAGAATAGTTAAGTTCTATTCTTACTATTGTTCTTTTTCTTCTTTTTCTTGAATTTCTTTATTCTTGCAGTATTATTTATCTTTCAATTATTCAGAGTACTGTCTGAATTGATCAATCAACAGATGCTAAAGTGAGATCTCTCACATTCAGAATAGATAGATGAATTTCTCAATTTCTGATAATTTCAGAAGCTTTCTTAAGTACTATTACAATCACATTCAGTACAGTCTTCACAGGCTGAATTCAATGTATTATTGATAGTTATTATAATCATTGTAGCTGTTATAGCTGTGTTAGCTGCAGAATCTATATTCTACAGATTCTTTTTATCTTTTGAAGAATTAAGCTGTAAACAGATTTTCTTCATGAGAAGATCAACATTCAATATCACAGCTGTGAATTTGAAATTCTGTATCTTCTCTATCTTCTTCTGAACATAATTTCTTCAATTATTGAGTAGAACTGAGTAGAAGATATTAAATATTCATACATCTGAGAGAAAAGCATTCAACATCTTCAATTTCATGATGACAGACTGAAACTTATCAAAGAATGTATGTAGATTGATGATCTGTGTGTTACTAAGAGACATGAATTCCAGAACTGCCTCACAGTGTAACTGTGTTTTGAAGACAGAGTATTTCTATTCAATCACATTTCATAGAGTATAAGCAATCTGATTTTTATCATACTTGAAGAAATATGATCTGACACCTACACTCAAGAAGTTCAAGATGAATGTGTAGAGTCACCGGTTTCTGATGTCTTAGAATGATACTCATTCATCATCTTTTTATAGAGAGTTCTGAGTCTGTCATTTCTCTATCATATATCAACACTGTGTATCAATCAGTTTTGATTTCATGAAGATGCTTCATGTGATGTAATTGAATATATCAGTTAGACTGTTTAGTCTCACAGTATTCTTGATATCTTTCTTGAATTGAGAGATTGTCTTGTCAACACAGCTATCTGATTTATAAAGATTGAATTTCAATCTTTCACTGAGATTAGAATTTCATGTGACTGTACAGACTGTTGATATAATGATAGAATAATTATTAACATCTTGTAATTAATCTGTAAAGAATGAGAATCTCTGTTGACAGAGTTTTTTCAGTTATAGTTCAAGTTCTAAGACTCTTTACTTTCTCTTGTTCATCTCAAGTATTCTCTTGAGATGCTTCATCTGTTAATCTGATATTGTCTCACTCAAACAGTAGATATCTGAGTATTTATTATTCTTATCAAGAGAATCAGCATCAAGCTGTTAAGTAGATTGAGAGGCTGGCCTGACCATGTCAGAAGCTGTATTCAAACCAGCTTCAAATCAAGAGAGTGTTGCAGAGTGTTCTTCAATGAAGCTTTCAAAGACTTCAGAAGAATATTCACTGACAGAGTATAAGTGTGAAGAATTATTATTATTATCAACTGCAACTGATTCAGTGAAAAGAATGCAAGATTATAAACATATATATAAGTAAGATTATATTGAATCTGCCATCTTAATATTCATTTATTGAATTCTCAATATTCATTTATTGAATTCTTGCTAATATTATTCTCTTTTTCTTGCTTTTTTACAAATGTAATGTGTTTTCTGCAAGCCTCTTTTTTAAGCAAGCAGTAGTATTATTAATTATCAAGATCTTAAACATATCAATACTGATAGAATAAGACAATTTTAACTTCTGAAGAGTATTAAATGAAGCAGTAGTTTAAATAATGAGTATATTGACAAGAAATTCTGAATTGACAGTGATTTTACACAAAATGAGTCTCATAACCTGTGAAAGGTGTAAAGCTTGTGTGATTGAAAGATTGCTAGCTTTGTGAGAAGTTATATGATGGAAGGATTAGTAAGCTAGATCACGTGACCTGACACTTTTTTCTTACTTTTTTACAATATAATGTATTTTCTACAAGCTTTTTTTTTAAGTGAGTAGTAGTATTATTGATTAACAAGATCTTAAATATATTAATATTAATAGAATAAGATAATTTTAACATCTGATAGATATATTAAATAAAGCAGTAGTTAAAATAATAATTATATTAATAAGAAATTCTGAATTGATAGTGATTTTATATAAAACAGATCTTATAACCTGTGAAAGATATAAAGCTTGCTTAATTGAAAGGTTGCTAGCTTGTGAGAAGTTATATAGTGAAAGAATTAGTAAGCCAGATCACGTGACCTGACAAGACCTTATCATTTTGACTCATTTGAGTTGTTTATCAGTTCAGTTGACTGGCACAGTACCTGCTCTCACATTAATAGATAGAAACAAGTGAATCTCTGCAATCACTGACTATTTTCACTGCTCTTCAATCCGGTTTTGTCATTCAATTGTACCTGAGGCCTTGTCAAAATCCTTGGAAATCTCAGACAGATCAACTTCATCATCATTCAGTAGATCAGCATAGAATTCCCTCAAGTCACCAGAGAGACCTGGCTTCAAGACAGAGAAGTTCTCATGAGCTCAGGGAATCATCGAGCTCTGTCAGATCTGAGCTGAGAGCACTTCATCGTTGGGATCGGGGGAAGGCAAGGAATGTGTAGGAACCGGGGGGGGGCCACAAAACCACAACATGGCCAAGCGGCTGGCAGCGCACTAATAGATGGATGAGCAACTGGTTTGTGAGGAGATACACCCAGGGTTGAGGGAGCAGGAAAGACGGGAGGTGGGAGAAAGAGGAAGAGAGAAAGGGCACCTGGTAAACGACCGGAGAACAAAGAATCTCAAGGAAAGGTGGTCATTGGTACGTACCTAGGCAGGTTGGCGCCATCGTGACTCGGCCTGTGGTTAGGCCCCCCCTCGCAAGGCGTCAAGACGACGGACGCCTCGACGGGGTGAACTGAATTGCTGTAGCCGGACGGGACGTGTTGGAAGATCGAGGTCACGTGTTCTCAGTAGCAAAAAAGCGCTGCCCCTGACCCAACTTTTAATCCAGATTAAAATTTGGTTGCACCGCCAGCCCCACGGCGGTACCTGGCGCCATTCCCGAAACAGCCTAGGGGCGGGGCCGCGGGGGATTGTGTTTGGGCGGTTTCGTTTCGGTTTTGTACGGTGTTTTCTTTCGTTTTGCTGCGGGGAGGATGGGATGGAGAGGGAGGGAGCCGTGATTGGCCGATGGGCGTGTTTATGTTCTCTTTGTTTCTGTGGGATAACATACAATGTATTGTTAAATAATTAAATAATAATAATAATACAAACCAACAATCTGAAGCCGTTTTCCCCTTCGCTTGGGGAGGGAGAGAGAGAAGGATTGGATGCTTAAAGTTAGCGGCGTACTACGCAGTACGGAGTATGTATGCCTATTATTATTGCTAGTCCCTCCCCAGGTTAGCCGGCGTTGGATTGGCCTGCTCACAGTGGCTCAGTTCTCACTATTCGCTGCGTAGGAAGAGTTGTGGCTGCACTTGCCATGTTCGCTGCTCAGCCCGCCCGCTCGCCCGCTGCTCGCTCCCCCCCTTTGCCTTTGTCCGTCTTTTCTCCTTCTTCTTCTCCGTCGTCGTCCCCTTCTCCTCTTCTTCTTCTCTCAACCTCCAGTCCAGTCCGTCCTCCTCAATCCTCGCCCGCTGCTCTCCGTTTATCTTTCTCTCCCCACGTTCATTTCTACTTGTCATTCATTCATTCTTGCTTGCCTGGTTGCTCGTTGTCTTTCCTTCTTTCTTCTATCCCCCCCCCTCCTCCCCCTCTCTTCTTCTCTTCTTCTGTTATTATTCGCGAGCCATACCAGCCAAGATACACAGTCCTTTCACAGAGCCCCCAAGCAAGGTGCTCTTCACGAGAGAAATTTGACTGTACCTGGGCTATCATCGCGCAGTCGGGCCCTTGATTCTTTTGTTTTTCTTTTTTTTTTTTTTTTTTTTCCTATTTTACGATTTTTAGACATGCGATCCATTTGTTTCATGTATCTCACTTACCATCACGTCCGCGACTGATTTTCATCCCTACGCCGATAATCCGAGAGAGATAGTATAGTGTGTTAATGTAGATCGCCTCCAAATACTAATCGCAGTATTATCATCGATCGCACCTCCGCAAACATCAATCAACAAGAACAAATTCCTCTTCGAGCCTCGAGCGCACTGGTTGCTGCAACTAACATCCGTTTCATTCCTTCCCTTCTTCGTTGTGGGCCTGCTCTTCATCCGTCTGTCTTAAGGTAGTCAGTCAACTCTGCATTGCAGCCTCACGATCATCACGATGGCACATCAACATGACCACCACTGGGCCGCCCACAAAAGGGAATTGGGCAAGAGACAGAGACGTCCGGAAATCGTGTTTGTGACACTCCCTCCAGACTTTGAAGGTCCTATCGGGGGGTTTTTTACAGAGCATGCACCGGGCGTGGGACCCCCTGTCCGACCAACGAGGACACCAGAGCCTCGTCCCTCCAGGCGTCCCGCAAGCACCTCTGCCAGGCCTACGCCGAAAAGAACATCAACAACACCTGAGCGGCCCAAGTCTACCAAGGAGACTACGGCATCAAACAGGCCATCCAGAACTACAATGGCTACATCGACTTCAGACATCTCGTCGGATACCGTCAATACGCCCACTGGGTTTAATGAGTTTCGCCAAACCGGCACGGGTACCGGCTCACCAACAGCGATCACCTCATCTGATGTCTCCAGTGGCATGTCTGGCGGTGCAAAGGCAGGATTGGCAATAGGAATTATCCTGCTAATTGGCTTGATTGCGGGTGCTGCGTTGTTTTTCATCCGGAAGAAGAAACGGGAAAAGTCGGAATTGACCGGTTTCGATACTGAAAAGCCGTTCGGCGCAGCAGCGCGTTCAGATTCTGGTCCTGGCCCTACTGTTGGCGGCAGTGACCCTCCCCCCATGACGCGAACGATGACCTCTCCAACTGCTCCCCAGCTAAATATTCGACCTATTACACAGTTTTCGCCCGACCTTGGTGGCCACACCACTCCAGGAAATGCGTTTAGCAGTGGCAATCTTGCTCCTGGTGTCGCCGCTGTTGGTGTTGCACGCAGTCTTACTGGGGAGAAGCCAGCGCCGCCGCCCAAAACATTCAACAATGATCCCAATCCCTTCAATGACCCGGTCAATCCCTTCGACAGCCCCGCGATCTCATCCGCGCCTGCAACGCCTGCGACACCTGCAACCTCTGCAACACCTGGAACTCCCAGAGTGCCTGCAGCATTTGCTTCAGGTGCACCACCTAGCCACATCCCATCCCCTGCCATTTCTGATGTCCGCACGCCCTCACCTGAAACCCTAGTTACTGGTGTTGCTGCAGTGGGCACTGCTGTTACTGCTGGAGCTGTTGGCGCCGTTGCAGTTCGCCGAAGCTTGAACGACGGAAAGCTCCAGGAACAGCCACGCGACGGCCCTGCTCCCGCAAGAGATTCTCCTCCTCCAGCTAGTCCCGCCATGAGCGTGGACTCTACCACAGCGTCTGCAGTTGCCGGCGCTGGCGCTGGTCCTGGTGCCGGTCCCGCTGGGCCTCCGAACGTTCATCGCGTCCAGCTTGACTTCTCCCCTTCGATGGAGGATGAACTTGAACTTCGAGCTGGACAACTTGTCCGCCTCATGCATGAATATGACGATGGCTGGGTAGGTTTCATTTTTTTCCTTTCCCTTCACGGATCCCATAAATTTAATTGACAAAACTCTTACAAATAACAGGCCCTCTGCGTCCGTCTCGACCGTTCTGCGCAAGGCGTCGTTCCACGAACCTGCCTATCCTCCCGCCCCGTCCGACCCCGTCCCCGCAACCAATCCAATGCCGGTCCCCGTGGCCCACCACCAATGGGATACCCTCCTGGCGGTCCCCCTTCTGACAGCGGCCGTTCCATGTCCATGAGCAGCCAAATGTCTCATCACAGCCCCAACCCCAACGGCCCCTTAACTCCGCGCTTCCAGCCGCCTGCAAACGGCCGCCCGGCATCCCCAGCATCCCCCGCGCCATCTAGCTACCGCACATTCCCACCCCAACAACACCCACATCCCCATCAGCCACACCAAAATGGGCGCCCAATGTCACCCGCCCGGTTCCCGCATGTGCCACGCTCCCTCTCGCCAGGTCCCGGACGCATCCCGCAGCCACGCTCCATGAGCCCCGGTCCCTACGGTCCCGGCGGCATGAATAAGCCAGCCATGTCTGCAACCGCCAACAGGAGACGAAGCCACAGTACCAGCGCAGCTATGGGGCCTGGTGGCAATCCCGCAGGACCAGCACCAGTGCCAATGCCAGCGCCACAAGGACAGGACCGACAACAGCAATTTGCCCTGCCATCTGCCACAGCTGGCTTTGGGGGGTATCCGGAACAGGTGATGCCGCCGCAACCACCGCAGGTGCAAGCGCAGCAGGCCCCAATGCCAGCACCGGCACCAGCGCCCATGCAGGCACAGGTAACTCCGGAACCATCGCGAAGCCCACCGATGTCGACGGAGCCTATTGAACGGAAACCGCTCCCCAGTCCAGCGCAGCAGTAAATTGAAATAGAATGAACATGAATAGGGCCACGAGTGAGAGATGAAATGTGGAGTACTTTTTCTTTTGGGTCCATGCTCCTGTTGTGAATGGATGGGGCGTATTATCTAACAGGAGAGACGAAAGATATATCCAGAAAACCAGCTCGAAAAAAAACCGAAAGAAATCGAAATCAACTAAAAAAACATCCCCAACCTGAGAAGCTAATTTGGCAAAATTTCTATTTTTCTATTTCTCTATTTTTTCTATTTTCGATGGTGGAAGTGAATTTGATACCAGTTTACGGTTTACAGATTTTTCTTATTTTTTTCTGTATTTTTTTCTGTTTTTTACAACACTCTATTCCCCTCGTCCCCCTTCACCACACTGAGCTTATCCCCCTTTAATTTCTTTCTTTCCCCGTATATAAACCCAACCCCCCCTGTCTTTTTACCACTGTATTTTGTTGTTAGTTTTGCTTGCTAGATTTGCCTGATATTCCCGCCCCCTTCCCGGTGAATTTTCCCATCCTCTCTCCCCTTCTTAACTTTCCTTCACGCATATTTTTTTCTTGTGTCATACCATATGTATGTATGTATGGCACCTTAGCACTGTTCACCTTCACCTTTTATGTGGCAGGAGGGGTTTAGGTAAATTAAATAAATAAATAAATAAGTAAATGTGTAGTTATGAGAAGGTTGATTGATGATTGATTGATCTTGATGAGAGAGTGAGGGGTGAGAGAAGAAAGAGAGAAGATATCAGTAGCTGAGTGATTTGAAATGTGATTTAGATAGATTGTCTTGATTAGTTTTTCTCAGGTATGAATATAACTATTTTTTCTCTACATTTATCTTTACCTATTCCCAATTAATGCTAAGAATTTGGCATCTGAGATGTTCTTTTCGTCTAGCTAGTTATCTATCTATTACTGAGACTGATGGGTATGGTCATAGAAGAGAAAAAAAAAAAAAAAAGGAACGCTCACGAGCGAGGGAAGAACATCAGAAATAATAAACAACACAAAAGGGAGTATCTCTTTAACCTCTACTCTAATGAAAAACTAAACAAATATATAGAAGAAGTCTATATGTGGGAGTATGTATGTAAATCTTTGACATATGCAATAGGAAAAGTTCAGCAAAAAATGGCAAAAAACAACTCATGGTATCGTCACAGATGCGGAACCCCGGCACTGGCCAACGCTAGATTGATAATACTCACGACCCCCTCGCCCAATATGAGCCCAGACGCGAGAATCACCACCGTCGACCCAGCGTCGGAATCATCCTCCCCACCACCCGTCCTAGAGCCAGCAACATGTTCATCATCGTCTTTAACGGCAGACGGTACCCCCGCCGTGTCATCATCGCCCTCGTCAAACGGCCCCGTGAACAAACGCGCACGACTATCACCAACAACCCCGCTCCTCAACGGCGACAAGGGCCACCACCACCGCCGCTGGCGCCGTTGCTGCTGCCGCTTCCTCCACCTCCACCACCATGCAATAACGCCACCAATAGCCCTGGCCAGCGTGAACGACGGCACATTATACATACCCACGGCAACGGCAATGCCGCCTGGTATCCACGCGCGCCACGGCGGGCTTCTTCCCCTTCCTTCCCCGGCTTTCCCCGGTGAAAACGCAGGCGAAGCACTCATAATCCTCAAAACCGTAATGACCGAAAACACCACGCCTGCAATCGTGGCGGTCTGCCACGCCATCTCCGGCAGGCCCTGGCCCGTCACGAGCCGCGCGGTGAATATCCACACGTAGGCCGTGGGCACCTGGAACATGGGGCTGGGCACGTCGTAGACGGCGACGTATAATTTATAGACAGCGGCGGAGATCACGGCGCCGAAGAGGCTGCCGATTACTTGTCCGTAGAACTGCGCTTTGGGGCTGGCACCGAGCAGGTGGCCTGTTTTCAGATCTTGCATCATGTCGCCGGCTTGCAGGGCGCCGGCTTCGGATACGGCGCCTGCGAGGAGGTTCGTAACGACTGCGGTGCGGCGCGTGTGGCTTGAGGCTGGCGTGGCGAAGGCGAAGATCAATTGGGTGAGTTTGCTGATGCCTGAAACGGGGTTCAGGTCCGTTTCGCCTAGGGCGCGCACGCCCATGACGGAGAGGAAGAGAGCGAGGAGGGTAGCAAGAGCTGAGAGGGCTGGAGTGATGAGGTTGCCGAAGCTGAGGTGCATGCATATGACATTGAGGACTAGGGTGAGAGGGAGGAGGATGAGGACTGTACGGGTGGAGATGAGCTCGGATGGAGGGGCGTCACCGTCGACGCTGTCCATTGCGTGCGGCGGGTGAATGGCGGTGTAACCTGTTCTACGAGAAGCGGGTTTGATAACATTGGCCCAGAAATCATTTCGGGTCATGTTATGTAGAAGAATTGGCCCGTGGGTGATCAACGGTCGGAGCACTAACCAGCCAAGGTTGATGATCGAGTCTGCAAGCATTATAGCAAGCGAAACCCATACAATCCAAGCTTTGCTGCCGTCTTCCCAGCTATCGACGGGTCCGGGAGCCCAGCCCCGATGTTTGGCAAGAGGGGATAGTATCCCCCATCCTAGAATCGCACCGACCAGCACATGTAGTGATGTGGAAGGGCCCATTATTATGCCTTGGCCGATGTATGCTGGAGAAGGATTGAGTGTCCACAGCCATTGAGTCGCAATCGGAAGACCAAAAATAGGGAGATCACGAAGCCGCGGGATAAAATATGAGACGAGGGTCTAGAAAAGTAAATCAGTAAACGTATTGAGGATTAAAAAATCGAATTGGAAGCCCTTTTACATATGTCGCAGAAACTCCAAACGCGTAGATCAACAATTTAATCTTCGCCTGCCAGTCTTTCCTTCTATCCCGCTCAGCAAGTTCTAGTCTTGAGATTGAATGCGAAGTGTCCTCCCGCTCATCGGGAGCTAGCAACGTCACGCGCTCTCGCTCATGCGCTGAGTTTGACCTTGACCTTCTCCTCCTCCTCTGCTCACTAGCAATGCCCACAGCCTTCCCCTTCTCCTCTGTCTGTCCACCGCCATGTAGCACTCTAATCATCAATGCTGTCGCCGTCCCACTCGGAAACTTCAGCTTCTCCCTCACAATAACCTCCTTCCGTAACGGCACCGCAAAAACAACCCCGAATAAACACACACCCAAACTCCAAACAACTAATTTCCCAAACGAAAGCTTCAATGGGCCCCCTTCACCCTGTCCATCATCGGCCCCTCGGTCTCCATCAGGCCCATCTCGCAGCAAGAACTCCATAGACGGTATGACGCCCACAAATCCACAACCCAGTGGCATTGATCCGACGGCGCCCGCAACAGTTTGGATCAGAACGTTTTCTACTGGCGTAAATGGGAATGAAAGATGGCGAGAAAGGGCCTTGAAGGCCGCAAACCCTATTAGTGACGAGGGCATGGCCATGGTGCTGATCCAACCAGTCTGAAGGCCGAAGTACGTATTGGAGAAAGTGATGAGAGTGCCAATTACGAGGCCCATGAGGAGGGATCGGGTGGTAAAGCTCTGCGCGGAGGTTCTCGAAGCTCGCAATCTGTCCGCGCTGGAGTCACCGGGAAACCGGCTATCATGTTGGATGTCGCCGTGATGGTCACCATCTTCATGGTTGCTGTCTTGATCTGAATGCGTTTCCTCATTGTGGCTTGAAGACATTAACCCTGGGGATTGGAACTGTCTCACAGGATAACTATGGCTTTCCAGGCCCTCGCGGTTGGATAATGAGGGACCTGTCCCACCCATTTTCTAGTAGTTTCAAAAAATGATAACCTGCGAGACCTTGGGCAATCAATCCCGGTGAGCAACACGGGGTAACCGGCAACCACAGCCTCAGGCTCGTGGAAGATATATATTATAAAATTCCAACAGATCGCCTAACCCCCATGATTAGAGAGCGGGGAGTTCGGCTGATGTTGATATACGAGGTTGCGATGACGAGCTTGCAGACCCGAGCCAGCAGATTACTAATGAGCTCCAGATGACTAATGACGCAATTAATGCTCCGGGATGCAATACAGAGGGAATTAAAGATAGAAATATTATTATTTCCTTAAATAAAGTAATGAAGGCAGCTTTATTAATACACACAAGCCTTGAACAGCTGACCAGCATGCAGAAACAAGGAGTAGTTGTAAATCGGAAGGGATACAAACGCCTAGATGATAAAAGCCAAGCAAGCCCCTTGCGAATGCACCAATGAGCCGAAAAACCCGCAGCTAATCCCTGAAATGAATATCTCTAAATGATATAATTTAATCAATTAAAATCCAAAGCTATCCAACAACGCATTTGAATCCGGTTCCTCAAAGGTCGTCCCCGCCTCATACCTTCCACCCTGAGCAGATAGGGAACCTTTCAACTCTTCCTGAAGCGTAGGCATATCAGCCACAACCAGACTGCTCCTTCTCCTCAGCAGCTTCCTTAGATCCGGCGCTTTAAATGATAGACGCGAAGATTGAGTCTTGCTAAGGGGCGCGGAAGGTTTAAGGAACTCCCATTCGCGCACAAGATTGAGACCTAGCAGGTCGCAGCCCATTCGGTCATACAACCGCGCGTTGCGCAGGACGAATTCCCATTCGTCCCTTGCAGGGACTTTAGCGGCACCTTTCAGCGTCTGCGTAGTCTTATCGCGGAGTTGTTTGTAAAGGATGACCAGAGCTGGGTCGTGGGCCAGGTATGATTTTGCCTGGAGAGTGATTGCGCCTGGGCTAGTGGGAGACGATGGAGTGGATAGGATGAGGTTTCCGATTGGCGACTGTGCGATCAAGGTAGTTAGTTAACGGGTTTCCCCATGGCTCATGTTTGCTTTTTTCTTTGTGGAAACAATTGTCGAACTTACAATCAATGTCCGTACAGCCAAGTCTCGTCGATTGAGCAGCCAAAATGCCCATGTAGCCATCCATCGGTTGCCTTCGGAAGCAGCATCGACAAGAACCCTTTCCTCTAGAATCTCCTTAAGTACAGGTCCATCGTCCCCCTCGTAGGCGCGTGTAATCGCAACAGCCAACTGCACATCCTGGAGTTGGTTCATGCACACATAAACGGCATCGCGCAAGTGGTCGGCTAGGAGAAAGAAGGCAGCAGCGTACTCTATCATTGCGTTTATCTAGCTGTTAGTAAACTACTTCCTGACATGTTCCTCGAAGATATGAAGTAGGGCTCGTACCAAATCTTCGTTTTCCGAGCAATGCGTAGGCATTTTTGAGTGCCGCCGTTCGCCACCTCGGTTCGCTAAAGTTATTGCTCAATAGTCGTTGGGTGGCAGACTGTTCACGATTCCAGCTTGCCATTCGCCAAAGCCCCTGTAGAACGCTCTTCTTCCTGAGTGCAAGATAATAAAGACTACAGTCGATGGGATTCTTTTCCTGGCTTTTGGTATATTCATTGCGGGCGATGACCTCGAGTTGAGCTCGCTAGAAGGGACAACAAAAGTTAGACTAAAGATGTCCCGTTATAAATAAAGTGAAGCTGAACGATTGATTACTCACTAGAGAATTTAAATCCGTAATCCACATGAAAATCCCACTCTCTTTCGCGTGTTCCCAAAGCATTTTCCCCTGATATTGCCTAGAGACGAGATCTGCGAGGATTTCATGGCTATCGCTGTGTAACGCCCATACAATCTCCCTCCAGGAAACAGTGGGTTGTTCAGGAAGCCCCTGGCTTCTCCGTAGCATGTGTTGACGGAAGAAAAGTAGGTACCGCGCAGCATTGTCGTCCATCGAGCGTCGATGCTTATCGACGGTTGCTACACACTCAATAATGTTCACGAGGCGGAATTGTTCGGTGCTTGTTAGTTGAGGCAGTGCGACTCGCATTAGATTTTCATTTAGTGCGGTTCCCAGCGTCTCGTCCACAACAGAAGATTCACCACCAGTGGCGAAATCGGCATAAGGTGAGTGCATTTCTTTCCAGTGGACCTTTTTCAACGTCTATGTTGCCAACCGTTAGTTTATTCGTCCGCACATATACACAACTAGAAAGCCTGAGAAACTTACATCTGCATTTTGATATATATCTTCAAGCGGAATATCCAAGAACCCATCAATCTCATCACCTTCGGTATAAAACTTAAGCTTTTGATAGAGGCTTGTGAGAATTAAATGCACGAGATTTGATTTTCCGGAAAGTATGCACTGCGACAAGAATTGCGGATGAAATACTGGTAATGTGCCATTCAACCGACTGACAACGTCAAAGAGATCCACATATATCTGTCGCGCTGGAAGGCGAACATTGGTGATCAATTGGTTACTAAGTTCAATATGCTTGTCGTAGACGAACAGTTGATTGCCAGAGCCAACAACAAGATTGCCGTTGCCGAGCCAGCAAGAGTCACCAACCGGATGGGGTGTTAGATCCTGGATCCGAATTTCCCGAATCTGCGTCCAGGATGGTCCAGCATCAAGGTAGTCATATCGCAGCTGGGACATGAGAATGACTTTGTGGGGAAATCCAACAGACAGTATAGATTGAATATGCGGTGTTGACGTCCAGTCCAAGTCCTTGATAATATCCTGTTGTGAAAAGTTCTCTTCGAACTCCAGCTGAGCTCCGTAGGTATCCCATATTGTGAGACGTGTCCGATCTTGGTCAACGATAGCCGCCTTGCGCATTGAGGCACCGCTGGCGAGCGATGGATTGCATATCCCTGTTTCAACCGTAGAAGTTAACAGCCAGTCAATTTTCTCATTCTGTTTATCGACCTTGGCTGTCCACGTCCTAACTCTCCCGCTATATGTGTAAGACAGAGCTATGTCGGTTGCGAACAGATCAAGGAAACCGGAAATCATCATCGAAGAACCGGCCGGATCAATGGGTAAAATATATGCGATATCTTCATCCACGCCTAGGTTAAATGTACAAAATTGGCGCATTTTAGGATGATAGAATCCATTCGCCCCATTCGCAACGACATGCTCCTCGGGAAGGTCAATTTCCCAGGCGACTCCAGTCATATCAGCAGCAATAGCTACCACGTATACAGTTGAAGAATTCGCCTCAGAAGTCGGTAGGAGCAAAACACAAAGGGGTTTTGACGATAACCCGAAATCACATGTTGCTAGCCTTTCCGCGTAGAATGAGCGAGTATCCCAAAGAGAAATACTATCATGATGTAGATTAACCAGGAATTTCCCCTCTCCAATCAGACAGGTACGATGAATATGGAGATCGGAATAGAGAGAGCTCTGCCGAACAAGAACAGGGCCAGAACTACTAGCTCTCTGTCGCCATATCATAGCCTTGTTGTCGTCGGTACGCGAAACTAGAATTTTCCCGCTCGCATTACGTACGATCTTCTTGATGGATCCCGTATGTCCAGACCAGACAGCTCTTGAAGTCAACCGCTTCTTTCGCGGAGATGGGTCAAATAAAGCTTCCACTTTGGAGTCCAACCACTCGATTCGCCCGTCAAAGTAATGGACTAAAATCGTAAACGAGTCTTCCGATAATCCACCAGCAAAACCGTAAAATTGAGCATAGTCGTCGCCCGGTTTAATACCGGAAGCAAATGAAAGATGCAGCCCTTCAACATGCGTTATATTGAACACACTTGTCGGTGACCGGACTTTGCATCCGACATTCTCAAGACCCCAAGCAGACATGTGTCCCCTGCCATCCATGACAATACACACTTCCGGACTCTTAGTTGCCACTTCAACAAGATGTTCGAGAGCTCGATTATCCCGCTCCTGTGCAGCCCCTAACTGTACGGCATGTTCTGTAGCGACGGAAAAATCCCGCCCGTCAATTATGAACCCATACCTTCTTTTCGCAAACTCACTATTATTAGGTTGCCTCGGCTGAATTGCAGTGTCCATATCGATCTCCGCCCAAAGCTGAAGTGCTGACTTGGAGCCCGTCCGATCCATGCCCGCCCAAACCCGTATCTTATTATCGGCGCATATCGTATAAAGAATATTGTCCATCGTCTGTTCCGGATGGTATGGCCGCCGCCAATGCATGCTTGTCACAGTGTCCGGGTGAGGAAGGTAAGAAACCTCGAACCGAACCTCGTCCGTGCTGAAGGTGAGCCGCTTCCATACCTTTACCAGACGATCGTATTGGCCAGTCGAGGCAATCAAGCTAGCGTCGTGGGAAAATTGCGCAAACTTCACTGGGTTGGCGACGCTTTTCATCCAAATGATTTGCGGTTTATCTGTGAGTAGCCATAGAGCTAGGCGCGAGTTACCGGCTAGGAGCTCGCCCGCAGCGCCCCATGACAGCACATTTATCCGCTCATCGTCGTCCGGGGCGCGAAGCTTGTGACATAGACTCCACTAGCAATAGCACGTCAGTTAGCAATTGCCCGACCATTGTAAACCACAGCTCCTTCATATACCATTATCCAAAGTCCAAAACGAAATGGGAATATCGAGAGTATCTGCTAACCTTCCAAATATTATCGCCAACACAGCAGGGGTTAAAGACAGAAATATCTGAGCCCCCAGCAACGGCGATTCTCCCCGAAGCTTCATCAATCAAGACAGCTTCGAGAGGTCCCGTGTCATCGAGATAAATGGTTTGTAAAAGTTTGTGCGCTCCGCTGAGGATAACCAGCGCTTGGCCGGAGATGTAGCACTAGACAACGCGGGCGCAAACAAAAACGATGTCAGCGAATTCTGTGCCGCGTTGATATACTCTTCACGAGTGAATTCCAGTTACTCAAAAAGTGTTATACTTACAACAATCCGGATATTTTTCCACAGCGCGGTGCTCAGAGCCTGTAGTTTCGCCGGGGGTCGCCCGGGTAGTAGAGCTCGCATCGGAACGCTCGAAGACGCCAGTGTGACTGTCGCGGTCCGTTATACCATCCTCGACGAAAGTGGGTTTATCCAGAGACCGCATATACCTCGAAGATACGTTATAAATTGTCGGTAGCTTGTGTTAAAGGTAGCTGCTAGCTGACTTGTCGTGAGATGCAATGATGCGAATGTCTTGAGGTGCACGAGAGTTGTGTGTAGTCAGCACAGCACGACCCACGACGTCACCGAGTCGAAAATCATTCCAACGCCAAATGTGATGAGGGCGGAAATCGCCGCTAAATATGATGTTTCTGCGGACATCCAATGAATGAAACATTTACACACATTTTTGAAGGCATTTCTACGTTTGAGGTCCACTTAGCTAAATGTATCTCATTCTTCCTTGCATGTGTGTTTATATAGGCTAGTTGTGCGCTCATGAGACACCTCCAGAGGTCGCTAAATCAACTAAATAATCCACCCGTTCACCTGAGCAATCATGTGTGAAGTCTGATGACAATGAACACTACTCCGCGGTATCAAAGGAAAAATAAATCAAACCCTCACCCAAAGTATAGGCGGTATTTATACAAACCCAAGGTATCCTGACAAGTATCCAAAGCGCGCTCGTCTCATATCAATCCAACCAAATTCAGTTATACAGACAGGAAAAGAACGTTAACCATACTCCCAATCCCAAGCGTATAGAAGAAAGAAAATCAGCTGGGTCTGTTCATAGATCTTCGCTTGGTCGGAGACTCAGGTTCATCGCCGACATCACCATCATCATCGCCATCGCCATCGCCATCGCCGGCGTCATCATCATCATTATCATCATCATCAACATCAGCAAACCGTACAATAGCACCCAGTGAGCTCCGTCGAGTATGAACAGTACTGCTCCCTCTGTTCTGCGAAAGCTGTCGCGGTTCAGTTCGCACCTGTTGCTGCGCCCTTAAACGGGCCGCGAATGGCGTTCTTATGGGCGTAGCTGGGGTGGTAGAGACCTGCGCGAGTGCCCTAGCCCGGGCGGCTCGCTTCGATGGGCTATTCAGGTAACCAGGTGTGGGTAATGGGGTTTGTGCTGTAAAGGCTGGAAGCGGGCCCAGTTCGCTCAGGGTCAGGGTTGAATCCACTAAAGGCCACGCTTCATTTGTCCGGTGCGGTGTTGGGGTGACATTGGTGTAATCATAATCGATACCTCCTGCTCCAGGTGTATGGTATCCGGGTAACTCTCCGCCTCTCTCATCCAACAATCGTGTCACCTTCCCGTACCAATGCTTGAACATATTTCTGAGATGCTTGCGGAGGTTTCGCTCATGCAGAGCATCAGCAGTCTCCAAGCTGGCTTTCATTTGAAAAATACGCAGAGAGAGTTTGCGGAGTTGGGTTGCGCCTAATGCAGAGACGTGTATTTCTTGGAATTGGATAGCCTTATCATTCTGAGCGCGAATTTTAGTAAGTAGCCCAACCATCCGCGTAAGGTAGCTATAGGCTAGTTGTCGACTATAATATATCTCCGAATCACGCACGTTCGCTCGCCGTCGCGCAGTTGCCGCACGCCACTTATCAAACAGCCCAATCCCTAGTTTGAATAACCGGTTCCGATCCATGTCATCAGCCTGGCGTTCCAAGTTTGAATTAGCAACTGCTTTGGATCGCAAGGCTGAAAGCGCCGTGCCAGCTAGGTTCATTTTGATCTTTCGCCTGACTGCCGCGTAGGCATCTTGACGTCGCTTTTTCGACGAATCTGCTGTGGCAGTGCGCCATTGCTTAAGACACCCCGTCATGAGAAGATAGAAACGAGCATCCTCCGCCCAGGACTCCAATTCAGAAACGTGACGCATCTTCCTCCTCCATATGTCGAGAGTTTCCTGTTCAATTCTGGGAGCGTAAAACGCAAAGGCGACATGATCGCGCCGTCTTTGAGTGGCAAGCTTCTCTCGCCAATCATACATTTTTGACCGCAGTAACTCTCTTGAACGATGGGCGCGGAAATCTTCTTCCTGGCGCAGAAGCCGTGTATATATCCCCCGTGAATTGAAGGTTAATCTCGCCAGCATCTCGCGTTTTAGGCGTTGTTCGTGAATTCTACTCATCAGACGGAACCGCGCAATCAGCACCCATTTATACAACGCCTGCAGAACGATACGCTCGTCTATGCGGGAGGAAAGCGCCAGGCAGCGCAGATCATCGTTCCATGTTGTCCATGCATTGCGCATAACACGGAGACGGTCAACTTCTCGTGCATGTCTCGACATGCGTGCTTGTAACGCCCATGTCTTGAGTGAGGAACGGAGTATTCTCGAGTTGACGGAAGCTGAGACCTTGATAGCGACGGGCTCTAGGTGAGTTCGAATGCGCCATTCTGAAAAACATTTCCCAGCGAGTTCGACCTTCCACTGGCTATCGGCCTGCAGTTGAGCCGAAACAATGGAACGCGTCTTCTGAGACCATTTCTTGAAAACTGCCTTAAGCCAAGTCTGCTTGGCATCCATGTCTATCTCCTGGTCACGCTCCCTTTGGGTTCGTAATGCCCGGAGCCATGATAGTAGTGATTTATGCTTCAAGCGATAATCCCTCCATTGAGGGGCACGCCGATCGCAGAATGTCCAGAACCATTTCCAATACGCAGACCTCGCAAGATTTTCATGATAAACACTAACAGCCTTGGTATCGTCGTTCCGGAACCGCTGAACCTTAGTCTTCCACGCTTTGAACGGCTTCATCAACGCAAGTCGTTGGGCTTTCATCTCGTTTACCGCGGTTATCTCCCTCCAGGCACTAAAGTACTTTATGCAGAGGATATGCCGTCTGGCAGCAGAAGTTTTCTCTACCTCATCCGAAGTAACTTGAGCCCAATGAGTGAATGCTTTCGTCATTAAATACAAATCCCGAGCTCGTGCAGCACGCTTCTCAAGATGTTTAAAGAATCGTACCGTCTGGGCTTCTTGGCGTTTCTGTCGCAATGTTGTTCGCCAAATGTCGAACGCCTGGCGCTGGAGGGTGGATGCATCATGCTTGGAAGCTATTTTTTGCATATTGTTAAAGTTTTGCTGTTTTCGTTTTGCGCGTTCTGACCATTCAGTAAATATTCGTCGAACAGCACCGCGCTGTCGGTACATGTTGAATGTGGACGCATCACGGAGAAGGTGGGATAGAGAAGGCTGGTATATTAGCTCTGGTGGTACTTGAACTCCGGGTATAATATCGTCATGTTCAAGAGGCTCATCATCGGATCCGTCGCTGCTATCAAGCGATAGACGATTTGGTTTGATGTGGTTCGTAACTTTGTTTTCATTTACACCAATGTTCAAACGTGGCGCATTTAGATTTCCATGAGATTGCCCGGGTTGGGCAATAATTGCACGAGCATGAGATTGACGACGAGTAGTATTCACCGTAGCTCTATTGTCTGTCATCCTGCTTCCCGTTTCCAAATTCGCGGGTGCAGGTGTGTGGCTAACGGGATCCTCACCGCTGCTGGGGGACGGAGATAATATTCTCGTCCCGAGTTCCAGCCTCGACACCGAAGATCTAGAGCTAGGTCGATAGATGCTCCTTTGTGTAGTTTCATTGGCAGCATCGTAGATTGAATTGAACGAGGCTCGCCTTGTGCGCTGTCCTCTAAGAGTTGGGTACCGATTCGGTTGCCATTGCTCAGCATGCTCTTCCTCGGCCTGCGCATCGTTGGTTTCTGGATCCGCAGTGGTGACTTCGTCAGCTCTAACCCCCTCTCTTGCCTCGTCGTCATACTCGAGCTTAATGCCCATTCGCAACAAAAGCATCTCGAATTTTTCAGAGAGCGTATCGCCCGGCACCGACTTGCCTCCAAGCTGGAATAGAAAGCGCAGGTACGTCCGATCCGTTTCCGCCACGATGCCATTTTCTGACAACACGGAGTCATACGCGGTGAATATAGCGCGAAACCGGTGTCGGTGGACGTCGGGCTGCTGCTCCGCGCGGGAGATGATCTGGAGGAGGATGTTGACATCTTCATAAACATCAAGTCAGTGACATAACTCCTATGAAATGGCCCTTGTGAAACGAGGCTGAAGGACACTAACCTTGATCTGAAAGAGATAATTGCTCGTCCAGTACGACTTGGTGGTCGCGAGGTGGATGCATCGAGCGTTTCGCGACCTATGGTGCGTTGTTTGATACATAGAGGCGATGCAAACAACTTATCGTATTGCAAGAGCTCGAACACTTCGGTGGGAAGACGCAATGAACACCCGCATGCATGATTCTATCCAGTACATCGAATTCCCATGAGCTGGGTCTGGTTGCGGGGAGACATCAATTATTATTATTATTATTATGTAGTGGACGGGACGGTCAGTTCTCCGCTGCGGCGAAGCCTTTATTTTGGCGCTTGTTCTCCCGCCAACGCGCCAGGATGGTGGTCGCAAGCTTATGTAATCTCAGGACCTGCCGATTCTTTCTTTAGCGGAAGAGAGCCACGAGGCCTGATAACTCGCAGGATTCCTCCAGGCCGAGTGCGGACATATAATAGCTATCGGGAATCCATCACAGTCACTCCGAATATGACCGGGAGAATAAGGCCAATTGAGAAGTTCGCGAAAGCCACAGCCCAATGCTCTGCGCAGGTTCGTACATCGACCTGTCCCGAAAAGGTTACCACTGACTGATTCTGTTACTGCAGGCGACAGCATACGGCAAATGCGTTTTCGCTGATTATAATGCGGTCCGGAAGGATATGTGCGCCAAGGAGTTTATGAAACTGAAGGACTGTTATCTGGTACAATCCACATTCTTGTTGGGCTCCCTGGCGAAGTGGAAGCTAACTAACTGGTTGAACAACACAGGCAGCGGCAAAGAAACTATGAGAAACCTCCACTAGAATGGCTATCACATCATTAATGTGAAAAGAACTCGCAAGATATGTGCATCATATGATCTCCCGGTTTACATGTACTATACAATATTGAAATCAATTATATATAGAAGAAAAGTAAAATTTCATCCGATTCATAATATCTAAAGAAACCAACTACCCT